CGTTAATCACGTCAGGGCTAACCTTTTGTTTTAGGGTAATAATGTCATGGGCTAGTTTTTTTTTGAGGGGTAAAGCCAAATTTTATTCATGAAAATCCACATGAAGTGGGATACAACTTTGGTCATGAGGCTCTCCAAGCCACACATGGCGCCCCGGACCTCTCGCTAGTGAGAACTTGGCTAATCTATGTGCTTCATAGTTAACAGCACGACTCTCGAAGGTAAGACTACATTGAAAATTGGATGATCTCAAGGTTATCTCCTCAATGATCGCTCCATAAACCCCATGGGATCTCCTGTTAATGTCTAACACTACTTGGCTGCAGTCTGACGCCACAACAAAGCTTACAAGCCCCAGATCTTCTGCCAAGGACAATGCTTCCCGACATGCCACTGCCTCAAGGGTGGCCGGATCTACCACCCCCTCAAGAACCAAGGCAGAGCTGCCAATATAGTGTCCCCACTCGTCCCTGCAAACTGCCGCTGCTGATCCTCCTCTCCTTGTCATAACTCCAGCATCCACATGAATTTTAAAACTTCCCGCTGGTGGCCTTGTAGGCCGTCGCTGGCCACATTGGCTCGATCCCGAGGTGTTTCCCCTCCCCTGAACATTGGATTTCAGTGCATCAAGTTCACCAATGAATCTGACAACGAATTCGTGGGTTGCTTGTGGGCTCTGAAAGATGGACTCATGGATGGCCTTCCTTCGTGCATGCCAAATTGCCCAAAGGGTGACAGCAGTGAGGATGAAGTGCTCATGTGATAACAATTGCATCAGAGAAAACAACCATTGTCTTGCGCTTGGTTCCCTGTTTTCTATGATTTTATGTGTTATGTCCTCCTTCATCAGCGCCCACACGCTTCTTGATGATGAGCACTCCAATAGAGAATGTCGCCAAGAGTCCCGCGCTCCACACAAGCTACACTGATCGGAGTCAGCCATGTGACGGTGTGCCCTCACATCATTTGTTGGCAAAGAGTGTTTTGATAGGCGCCATAGGAACATACGGATTTTCCCCGGGACTTCCGTCTTCCACAATCTTTTCCAAGATCCTTCTTCTGCCACTGCATTTGATGTTCCAGCCACACCCTCAAGCCAGGCTTCCCTTCTTAACTTGGTTGAGACCAGCATCTTGTAAGCTGACTTAACCGAAAAGACTCCGTGCTTTTCATAATGCCATGCCCAGAAGTCAGGTATATTACGTGTACACAATGGAATCGCAAGGATGACCTGTGCATCGATTGACATGAAATTATCTTGAATAACCTGTCTGTCCCAAGAGGCCGTAGCGCTTATAATTAGCTCGGAAGCTCTGACAGGTGGATTGGGTGTTGTGCTTCCATATGGGCGGAACATTCCTTCTCTCGGGAGCCAGTTCTGATTCCATATGCTGGTTGCTTCCCCGTTACCAATTCTTTTTATCAACCCCTGCCGGAGAGTGTCCCTACAATCAATGATAGCACGCCACACTTGGCTAGGGTGACCACCCAGTTCAGCCCCAAGAATGTCTGAGTTAGGATAGTAAATACTCTTGAGTATACGTGCACTCAAAGTCTCGGCGTTCTGCAATAGTCTCCATGCTTGTTTTGCCAACATTGCTAGGTTAAAGAGCTCAAAATCTTTGAATCCTAAGCCCCCCACGCCCTTGGGTTGTGTCATCGTTTTCCATGACACCCAATGAGGCTTCCGTTTTCCTTCTTTGCTTCCCCACCAGAACTTCCTGATAAGCATATTAAGATGTTCACATAAACCTCTTGGAAGCTTAAAGCATGACATAGAGAAAACCGACACTCCTTGGGCCACAGACTTGACTAGCACTTCCTTTCCGGCCGAGGAGATAGTGCGTTCAATCCAGCCCTGAACCTTGCTCCACAATCGGTCTTTCAGATACTTAAAGGCACCGTTCTTTGAACATCCAATGTTAGAAGGCATCCCCAAATACTTCTCATTGAGAGTCTCATTTGGAACCTGAAGAATATCTTTTACCTCTTGCCTTACCGAGTCAGGAACCCCCTTGCTGAAATAAATAGAAGATTTTGCGTTGTTTATCCGCTGCCCCGTCGCCCGACAGTAAGTATCCAGAGCATGGTACACCTCGTTTGCCCCCACACCGTTTGCCTTGAAGAACAGCAGGCTGCATCAGCGAATAGGAGATGGCTCACTGGCGGCGCCGTAGGAGCAACCTGGAGACCACTCAAGTTGGATGACTCACTTTTGGATTTTAACAGGCACGAAAGGCCCTCTGCTGCAAGCAAGAACAAGTATGGAGAAATCGGATCCCCTTGTCGGATACCACGTGAAGGTTTAAAGCTTTGAAGTTTCTTTGCATTGAACATCACTGAGAAAGTAACTGTGGACACCAGGCTCATTACTATATCCACCCACCTGGAGCTGAATCCCATTTTAAGCATAATAGCCTGCAAGTACGGCCATTCCACCCTGTCGTAAGCTTTCATCATATCCAGTTTGAGCGCACAAGACTGGTGTTTCTTGGCCTTATTCCTCTTCATGAAATGCAGACACTCGTAGGCTGTGATGATGTTGTCTGTTATCATACGTCCTGGGACAAAAGCTGACTGCTCCTCAGATATAATTTCAGGGAGGACTAGCTTCAATTTGTTAGCGATCACCTTTGACGCAATCTTATACAAGACATTGCACAAGCTAATTGGATGGGAAAGTAGCGTGGGTTTTTTTACCTTCGGGGTCAGGACCAATATAGTATCATTGATGCACTCCGCTGATTCCGTTCCTTCGACAATCCGGAGGACTGCCGAGGTGACATCTCCCCCACACGTGTCCCAATCATGCTGAAAGAAATGCGCTGGAAAGCCGTCCGGACCTGGAGCCTTAGTGGGATACATCTGAAACAGAGCTACCTTTACTTCATCTTGGCTATATGGAGCATTCAGCGACTCGTTCATCGCTGCGGTGACTTTGGTAGGGACTATTTCAAGAACCTGTTCCATATCATGCACTCCCTCCGAGGTATACAAATCCCTGTAGAAAGTGTTAGTCGTGTTTTCCATCTCTGGAACATTTTCAGTGAGCTCGCCATTCGGTCTCTGCAGGGCCTTAACCTGGTTCTTCCTTCTTCTGCGACTTGCCCTCAAGTGAAAGAAGTACGTATTCTTATCTCCATGCATTAGCCATTCAACGCGAGCTCTTTGGCGCCATAAAATTTCTTCTCTGTGATATAGTTCGGTGAGCCTCTCTATAATTTTAAGCTCAATGTGCGCAGGGCCCGCTCTGTTTGGGGATTCGCGCAGCTCTTGTAGCTCCCGCTTCATGCGCTGGATCTCGCGCCGGATATTACCAAAGTGTGTCCTATCCCATGCAGACAAATTGGACGACATGCGTTGGAGCTTGTCGCTGATTGAGCGAACCGAATCCCCCGCTCCATTCGCCCATGCATTCTGGACCACGGGCTGCAGCCCCGGATCGCGCTCCCAGGCGAGCTCATATTTAAAGGAGCGAGGGACCCTCCTGCATGCACCATGCACCAGATCCACGTAAATGGGTACGTGATCACTTGTGGCCGCTGTTTTGTGTTCAACTGTGGCTAATGGAAAAGCTATGGTCCAGGCCGGGTTCGCCACTCCCCGGTCAAGTCAAACACGCGTATAAGTGCCTCCAGTTACTTTCTTCTCAAAAGTCCATCCTATACCAGCATAGCCTATATCCATGAGACCGCAAGTATTAAGCGCGTCCCTAAAGGCATCCATCTGAGCTTGGCTCCTGTTTCCCACTCCAACGTGCTCGTGGGCATGCAGAACTTCATTGGAATCTCCAAGAACAAGCCAGGGTAAATCGCTAGCGCCCATGATTCCCCTAAGCATGTCCCAAGTCTTATATCTTGCGCTTACTTGTGCTTCTCCG